CCCTCCTGGGAAATGAGCAAACTCAGGATAACAGTGTTAGTTCATTTAACGAGTGCTTTCGAGAGCTTATGCCTTTGGATCTGAAGTGGAGTTGGTGTTGTAAACACCCAGCCTGGCGTCCCGACACACTGTCCTCTCTCCCTGATTTTGCCTGTGCATGCGGAGTCTTTACCCTACCTTCCAATCAGCCCAATAGTCTGTTCTTCTTAGCAACTGAATTTGTAGTGCTCTTCACGCCGTTCATCTTATTATTTACTTCTTTTTTTTTTTTTTGGTGCTGGGGATTGCACCCAGAGCCTTTGTGCTGAGCTACGTCCTCAGGCAGCTTTTATTTTATTTTTCATTTTGAAACAGGCTCTCACCAACTTGCCCAAGCTGGGTTGGAACTTGCGATCCTCCTGCCTCAGTTTCCCGGAGTAATTTAACCTTTTGGGCTTAAGCTTCTTGGAAAAATTTTCCTTCTTCTTCCTAGACTAGGTCAGGTTTATCAACAGTGAATCCCTGTAAACTCACTGCTTTTATTTCCTAACACGTTATTTTGAGCTTGCATCTCTGTATTCCTGATTACATAATTAGCATCTATCACACCCAGAGACTGTGGTGTTCAAGCGCAGGAACGGTGCTCACTGTTGTCCTTGATACCAGGCCAAGTGCCTGCGCCGTTAGCAGGTACATAGTAAATAGATATTTGGGAAGCTGTTTAATCACACAGCTTACTGATTACAGTGTTTTGAGTATAATCAGTAAGAGGTATGAACAGGTAAATGCTTGAAGCATATCAGTTCCATCTGTTCACACAAAGATGAGTTGCTAGACACTCAGAATTTTGGGTCCCACTCCACACCTACGGTGTGAGACTCTGAAATTCGTAGGATGGTCTCCCCATTTCCCTGTGTACTGTGATACGTTGTAAGTCAGGAAATGAAATCTTCCATCTCCAGAATTAGAAAAGCAAGGCAGATGTGTAAGCTTCAGCTTGATAACAGATGACCTCTGACCTTTAGCCTTCTCCTAGAGGAGCTGTTACCATGGAGACCCCCAGCTTCCTATAAAAGGGGCAGGGTGCTGTCCAGATGTAGATGACTGCAGACCTCATGCTGTAGGACCTGGGAACAGCCCAAGAGAAGCTAGAAATAGCATTCTGCATGCAGAAGCTGGGCTTGAACACTGACAACAGGGTTCAATTCTTTTTCAAGCAATAGAAGTAGGAGGATTAAACAAAGCGCACTTGTGTGATAGTTCTACTTGAAGGATTTCCAGTTTGAAAAACGTCTATAAATGAGGGTACCTTTAGGATGCAGCGAACAATTCCTAATTCTCTATTAATTTGGAATTTCTCTAAAATTCTTTAATTTTTCAAGTCAGAAACCCTCTTCTTTTTCTCTAATCATTTTATTCATTCTTTCCTTCTTTAATTTATTCATTCAAGACTCATGCGTCTCCTCCCTGCTGAGTGTACGGTTCCTGTGAAGAAACCTAGAGAAGAGTGACACAGAAATCAGAGTTTCTGACAGCTTCTCATCTCCTTATGATACAGTTGTACTTACGCAAAAGATAGTGCTCTATGTGTGTATTGCTAGGAGCACTTTTCATGTCTATTTCTGAGAGACATTCTTAGGAACTCGAGAAGTTGACAGTTCTAAGTGGAGAGACAGAAGCGGAAGGTACAGGAGGGTCACAAGCGGATGTGGTCAAGCAGAGCAGCAATCCTAGAGGAGTGAATTCTGCCTGAAGTGTGTTCGCTTGATGCTTTTAAAGTGTCAGACCCTGTTGCAGCCCTTCCTCAGCTTCTCAAACTGGCTGTCAAGAACACCCATTCTATCTTCAGGCCAGAAGTGTTTCACGGACACCAGAGCTTTAAATTCGACTTCTCTGATACACTTAAGACTTCACTGGCTTAACATTTTGAATGCCTTCTTTGCGTCAGTGTTGGATTCTCATTTCTCCAGCTGGCTGGAGGGATTGTGTATCTTCAGTAACAATCTTGAGAAGCTCCGTACTGGTAACAAGTGCCTCCCAAGACTTGGTGTTAGTTCCGTGGCAGCTGTGGTTGGAGGTATAATAAAAATCAACTGAATGTTTTCTTCAAATACCACCTGTTGATTATCTAATAGTGATTTGTGGGCAAAGGTCTAATTAATTTGTTACACAGTACGTAAAACTGGATTTTCCATGGAGGACAAAGTGTGTTTTATCTCATTTCACCTGAACGTTTTGTTTCATTCATCAGTCTGTGTTCAGTCATGCACTGATGAGAAAACCAGTACATTTTTAGTTGTTTTCTCTTTGATGCAAAATAGTGATTTGTTCTCCAGAGCACTCGCTGCCAGGTCCACAGACTCTCTGCCCTGTGGCGTCTCCCTCCTCCCTCTGTGGAGAGCAAGTCATGCACCCGCGAAAAGCTGATTTTAATGTTCTGGTGTTATCATCTCCATTATTCTGACGGTGGCAGGACTTTCTCAGCGTACTGTGCTGGCCTCTTCAATTGATATCTCTACTCCTGAGGCATTGCACAGGCCCCGCCCTTAGCGTGCAGCCGTGGTTTCAGAGTTCAGTATGATTTCTTCCCAGTGTTTCCCCACTTTCTCCCCGATCAGAGTGTCTGCTTGCTGCTTTTCCCACTCATGCTAGAAAGTAGGAGGGGAAGAGTCACCTAGACAAACAGGTCCGGTCTAGGTCCTTGGACACAGTTTCCTTAGACATTCTTCGTTTTTCCTCCCCACCCACCCCCGCGGATCGCATAAACATCTCCTTTCCTCTCAGTAGTTTGTACACCAGTCGCAGTGGCTTTTTTGGAATGAAAATCTGATCACATGGGTCCCCTTCTCATACGTCGGTGACTTCTCTCTCTCGGGGAGAATCGAGCTCTGAGACCTGTGCCGACACCTGCCCGCCCTGCAGTGCTCCTGCGTGGCTCTGCAGCTCACCTGCCTCTCCTGCACTGTCCTGGTCTCTCGGTGGACTCTTGGCTTTATTGTGTGGCCTTTTCCCTGCTCCCTGCCCTGCCTCACGGCCCTCCCTCCCCACCCGCTCTCCTTTGTGCTTCTCGAACCCTGTTTCCACCTCCTGTGTCCGTCTAGCACATCTAGGGAACCGTTACCCCGGATTCCAGCCATGAGCCCCCACCTACTATCCCTGGGCCTTGTATACATTATTGTCTCCCTCAGTGCTCTAGTTTCCTCCGCTGTGAAGCAGAGAAGTAATGGAGCTTATCCCGCTGTGCTGCTGTGGACAGAAGTTTGTAAAGCGTTTGTGATGTGGGAACCTAGTGAATTATTATGACTAAACCCGCGATGCTCGTGAGACGTTCATAGCACATTTCAGTTAACTTAAGAGAAATAGAAAGGCAAACCTGCGGTGTTAAAGGATCTTAAATAGGAAAAAGCATTTTAAAGCCAAATATAAATAATTTGGGGCTTAAAGAATATTTAAAATCAATCACTTTCGGTCCTCTTTTGTTGGTTAGGATAATCAACATATAGTGTCTGAAATTCAGTGTTATAAATGAAATGGTTTTAAATCATTTAATACTTACATTGGAGAGAAGGAGTGTAATAATAAAAGTAGGCAGTATATAATGACTCAGTTACTGATGAGGTCCCGTATTTTTAAGGGGTTTATATACTAACATTTAAAACTACCAGGATAATTCTTTTTCAAGATTAAGAAATTAGAAGAATAAAAAGTTGACATTTCACAAACTCCGATGATTCAGATACATGCTGTGCCACTTCGCCTCAGCCTATTAAAGATGGCTGTGGACCGATGACTTGGGTTTGACATTTGAAGCAGTACCCAGAGTCTCATCCTCCCTAAGCCATGCTTCGGTTTTCAGCAGATTACCGTGGAGAGGAGAAGGAGGCACTTTCTGCTGCTTCCTGGAGTGCTAGTTAGGTCTCTAGTTGACTCTGTGTCTATCTCAAGCGGTGGTACTGGGCGGCTGGAAGGAGTCCTGATGCTGTGATAACAGGATTTTACAGCTGGGAACAGAGTGTGGGGGCTGAGATTTAGTGAAGCGATAACTGTAGATGAAAGCATGCTCCATTCTTCAGTCTGAGGAGCTCTCAGGAGGGACCTCCTAGTGCCTGGCGGCATAGCTGGAGTCCTGTTGCGCCTGGCCTCGCTGAAATCGCCCCAGCACACGGCCCTGCTGAAAGGGAACGGGGTCTGGCATTTCCGTAGCCCTCATTCTCCCAGGGCAGTAGCACGAACAAGGAATGTTCTGGGCAGTCCAACCTTGCGGTGACCCTGAAATAGGAGCAAGGAGAAAAGGAGCAAACAGATTTCGTCACGAATTCTTACTTTTCCCTTCTCTTGGTTTCCCAGCCTGTCTCTCCCGCTTATCGACGACTTCATTGTTGGTGGTTTTATGTGTATCTGTCTTGCTCAGAAGACCCATGCAGTCACATGGAGAAGGCTCTCCCCCCTGTTAGGTGTCCGTCACTGTATTTTAAATTACGTTATAATAATAGCATCGTCTGGCCAGATGGCATTATTTTTGAAGCCCCTGTGTATGTTATTAACATTTACAAGGATGCACAATACTTTGCATTCCTAAAATTATGCCATCTACAGGTGGTGCTACGTTTAGCAATAGGTATTCATAGGATTTGTTGATTTTCCTCTGAACTTTTTAATTAGAGGCCCCTGTGCGAGGAAGGGACACAAATTTAACTTAGTTTACTTTCTGTGAAATCTATCAGTGTGTTTGGCCACTCACCAAGTAAATGTTAAATGACAGTGTATGCTGTCCAATTTATGAGAGTTTATGAGTAACGCCATAGGGATAATATGTGCTCAGAGCACTCACTGTCGGCCAAAGTCGCTTCTTTGTTTCTTCATGACGATCAAATCTTAATATTTATACTTGGTAGCATCTATGTCTATTATCTGCAGTAATACACTTTATGCATTATCTAATTATCTACTTACATAAAATTTAAATATTTGTTTCTCCTCGTTTCTACCCCGATCACATCCTGGGCGTCTTTTCTGCGAAGCTGAGTCATCCAATGGTGACTATTCCTGAACACGAAACCCTTGATTCCAAAGAGGTAAATGTCCGGCACAATTGGAGATCCAGTTTTGCATTTCCGTGGGAGGCTGTAGAAATAGCCAAACTTAATTTTAATGATTAAAGAATTACGCCTTCTTCCCTTTTTCCCTCCCTCCCTCCCTCCTTGGTCCCTCCCTTCTTTCCTTCTGTGTTGGGGACTGAACTCAGGGCCTCGCAGTGAGCTACAGCTCCAGTCCTTTCTTAAATTTCATTTTGAGTGAGGGACTCGTGCTAAATTGCCTAGCCTGGTCTCAATCCTGTCCTCCTGCCTTAGCCTCCTGAGTAGCTAGGATCGCAGATATGTGCCACCTTGCCCAGCCATGGGGATTTTTGAAAATCCTCTTTTTATTTTTACAAAAGCTGTACTATGCAAAGAAAAAACTTTCTTTGCATGATCTAAATTTGTGTTCATCAAGAGAAAGGGTAACTGAGCAATGTTTTCTTCTCTATCCTTCAGCTAAAATAGAAAATTAAAGGAAAAAAGTGAAATGTAAAGGACTTGTCTTTAGGAGGGAAACGGGTAGCTCATACAGTCATTTAAGATGGCACAAATAAAGTATGTTTAACAGTAATGCCTCCAGATTTAGACCAAGCATAAAGCAGAAGAGAAACAGAAATAATAAAATTTTTTAAAATCTTGAATTTTCCTTTGCAAGGTATATTTTTCACAATTTAGGGTAGATTATATACTTTTCATAAGCTGACATCTGTATTTCTGTGAATTTCAAGTTTCTATCATACAAGGGCAGTGTGGCCTTCCATGGTGACATGAGTCGAAAATATGAAGGTATGTTAGGAATATGTGTATGGATACCCATGATCGTTTCTCTATTAGGGCAAAATCCTAAAGCTAAGGCTATTGGTTCTGAGTGAGCATGTACAGTAGACTCGCAGACACACCGCGGCCCCGAGAAAGCTGTGGGAATCCCTCTTCCTCGGGGCGTTACGGTTCCTCCGTGTGCGTTCTCACCACACGGATTATTACAAATGCCACTTCACGGCGAACTTACTATATATTAGAAATAGTATCATGTACTTAATCGTCACAAAAACATTTCAAATTAAATATTTTTACTGTTCCAGTTTTACAGATGAGGACACTGAGGCTGAGGGAAATCAGTTTATGGTGTGAAGTCAAATAGCTAGAAGGGGTTTACACAAAGTCGCAGGCCTGTCTGGAGCTTGAGCACTCAAGGATACGCTATCTACTGTAGCTAAGTTTTATGTAAATTTGTCCATCTGAATGTCTATGCAAATATCATATTTAAAAATACTGTATTGCTAATTGAATAGAGAAGTATTGCCTAGTGTGGTAGCACATGCCTATAATCCCAGCACTCTGGGAGGCTGAGGCAGGAGTATCAAAGTTTGAGCCCACTGTGGGCAGCTTTAGGGTGACCCTGTCTCAAAATAAAAAATAAAAATCTCTGGGGATACAGCTCAGTGCAAAGGCCCTGGGTTCAGTGCCCAGCACCAAAATGGAAAAAAAGAGGCAGTTATTTTTCATTCTAATTTGCACTTTAAAAAGTCTGTATTTTACTTTTGTTTTTATTACCTTTGTTCTTTATTTTTATCTATTTTGTTTTTGTATCATGTTATGCATTTATCCACTACAATAGTAATACTTCTGAGTAGTAAGTTCTCTATATGGTGCTTTTATATTGAGTACGAAACTCTCTGCTGCTCACTCTCTGTCGTATGTGCTATCTCCTTCAGTATAATGATGGCAAACTCTATGAAAGTGAAACAAATTGACAACATATATCCCAGAATAAGAAAAGGGTTGAACACATGTTGGACTTTTCAGATGAATATAAAAAAATAGCAGTCAAATATGTTTATCTCAAACACAATAATTTTGGTTAAGTTCACAGAGGCCATGTCTACACAGTAGCAATGCTTTTACGTAATAAGAGAAAATCAGTTGGTTATTTCAATTACAAAAGCTTTCAGTTCAGGTAATAAATGCTGAACTGAGATCTTCTGAATGTTAGGTGAGCAAAAGGATTCCTGCTCACCAGGGGGGATAGAGGAGATGTAGTATTTGAAATTTTTTACATCAATTATCAAAACCCTTCAGAAAGAACTGAAAATTAAGCTGGTGGATAAGACTTCCAAAAAGTGATTTTAATAAGTTTGAAATATATGAAAAATGCCATAAAAGAAGTTAAAGCTTAATATCTGTGACACAGGAACTGTTAGTGTCACACACACACAAAAGAAGCAAAGGTCTTTTTTATGCTTCTGCCAAGCTATGGCTTTTTTTTGGTAAAACTGGCCCATTTTGGAGCAGTTTACAACTTTGTACAACTCATTATGATAGGTGGTCACATTGGCCTTATGTTTCCCAAAACCCTTTCCCTACATTTATTTACCCTATAAAACTTCACCCATGAAAAAATACCTTTTCTAGAAGAGCAGTTGTGGTCTTGAGACATATGGCGTATCAGAGCAGACCATTCCAGGTACCTACCTGTACACGTGAGTTGTGCAAGAGGCCAGGGCTGGCGCTCGGATGTGTTCCTCAGTTTTAATTCCCCTTTCTAGCAGTTTGCCTTCTTTACCACCAGATTCTCATTTCTCACATCCAGTGAGGCAATTTGTGGATAATCAGGTTTTTAAATCAACTCAGTCATTGAAATGCAAACCAATCTTAGATTTCTCTGATTTAGCCTTCTCATCACTTTTATAACTGAAATGATTTTTAAAGAAACAACTCTAAAGAGCCGTGCATTTCTCACCTAGCTGGGGGCCGCAGCCCTGGCTGAGCCTTAGTCACCCGGAGTGACTGTCACAGCACACCATGCCGGCTCTGCTCCAGCGGTGGGGCGGGGGACAGAGGTCTTGGCAGGCTGTGACGTCTCCCCACGGCTCCCGTGTGCCTCACCTTAACTTACAGTTCCTTCACTGGCAGTCTAGGGTCAATAAAGTCGCTATTTAATTGAAAAAAAACAAAACAAAACAGAAGGAAAGTGACAGCAGGAGGATCATTTAAAAAATTGTTTCAACACATGCTTTCAATTACTAAATATTTGGGTCATATATTCCTGCCCAGTGGCATGAACTCATGACATGTACTTTAACTTCTACGTTATATTAATGATATAGGAGAAAGAAACTCCCAGCCTGGAAGCTGTGTGGATGATTTCATGTTCTCTGAAATCGAAGAATGAATTTTAGGAACAACGGAGGTTGAGAGCAGAATGTATTTATTGGGAGAAAGAAGGTTTCTGTCTCCGAGAGGGACAGAAGGGGGCCCGAGTGGGTTGCCAAGGAACCTGCCTTTTCTAGGGATTTTTATAGAGCAAAGACAGGTGAGGTGGGTCTAAGTGGGGAAATGGGAACTCACAAGGTAGGCATGAAGTGGACAAAACTGTGGCCAGCCATGAAGATTACAAGCATAACTGCTCAGGTAAAATTGATTAAATGAGGATCAGATGGGGAATCAGTCACACAGCGAGCGGACATGAATACAGAACAGGGGCTTTTCCTGCTGGGGTTGGGTTAGTGACTCTTCCTGGCTTTTTCAAGGTGATTGCTACCCATTTAGAATATCAATCCCTGATGTTCATCCCTAGGGAGGTATGTGGGTGCATTTGTTTAATCTTTTGTCTTGAGATCTGGCCCACAGCCCCAAGGTATCCTGTCTTCCACACTGGTTCCCTCCAAGGCCCAGCCCTGCCTAACTGCCCGTTCTAATAATTCTATCTACTCAGTTGCTACAACATTAATTTTGAGAAATCTATTACATCTTGAGATTCACTTTAATTCAAGTTCAATGCTTTCTGTTTTTCTTGGCTTCTACACAAGGATTGGAAACTGCCCAGGTGAGGCACAGCGCCCAGTGCAGGCTGTCAGGGCTCAGGGCACCCAAGCAGTGCTTTCATTTTACGTTGTCCAAGACATACAAAAATACCTGGGGACTGAAGGACCCTCATGTGCACAGATGTGCTCCTAAATCACTGATTTTTGACCATGATGTCTGCTGACTGAGCAATATTCAAAGAATGTTACTTTCATAGATTTCCCGTTTACACCAAAGCAGTACGCTCCAAATAGGTGAATATTTAATGCCACTCAGGAAAGGCATATTCACTGCCTGAGATAAATGATTTCTGACTGCAGTTACTTAGAAGAAAATTAAATTCAATTAACAACCATGACTTCTGATTGTATTTACCATGTCTTATGACTTTGGCATGGACAACTACTCTAAAACATACTTTTCTTTTGCAAGATGAGTTGTAGCGTCATAGTAGAGAATGAGATACAAATACCTGCTCCTATCACCTGCTACCCAAAGCCCCAGGACTGTATTCTTGTCAACATGAAGGTCAATTAATTTCCAAAAACATGATCAGATGCATTTGATTCTGACTGCTCAGATTTATTTGTTATTAACACAGCTAGCTGCTCATAAAACACATACCTGGGAAATTGTTCTCTTGTTTTCTTAGTCCTTTTCTTTGCAGATTTTGATAAATATTTACGGGTGGTCATGGTTACAATTGTGACTGGAAGGTAACTGTGAAATGCCATCAGACTAGGACTTATGTGCTACTTTGTCGTATACAAGCTTTCCGCGTTCATTTTATTTTGAATCTCAACCTCTGCTGTGCCTAAGGTTTCTATAAAATAAAGCCATTCCTCTGCCTTCATTCTCTACATGAGAATAGGGAAATTAAGTGACTTGTTTATGGGAGCCACGCTCACTCTCTGGTTTAATTCAAGGGCAACGATGAAATTATTAAGAGGACTAGACTCACTTTCTTCTCTTCAGGGAATTTCACAGCAGTATTATTTCTAAAAATACAGGGTGGATATCACATACTGCTGAGTTCACAGCTGTAGTCTTAAGCAAGAACTTGGACTCTGGATTATTGCCTGATGATTAAAAGAAAGTTTATAAACTTTAATAGACAGCTGACTAAAAGGCCAGGTAAATTTCTTACAAAAATAAACCCAGCTAGCACAGATGACTGAAGGATCAGTCACTTTTTCCAGACATGTAGAAGGGTCTAAATTTGACACAAATGGACTCATCAAAATGATTTTTCCATCATTTGTTCTTTTCCTATGTCTCTAGCCTGTTTTGGAGAAATAGAGAAATAATAATAATCATAATAATCTTTCTGCAAACTTAGAAGTCCTCTTTAAAAGCTAATAGACAAAGCATTTTATTATTGAATAAGCAATAAATCAGAATGTGATAAGGATCACAGAAATCCACTAAGAGGGTGTAAACACAGGAAGAAATCTCACCCTTCATAAAACCAGAGATACAATCCATTGAATACATGTTCTCAAGATGAAATAGTAATTCAGCTCACCCCCAACTAAGAGGAAGTAATTTACCACTTAAAACACTACTTCATCCTGAATTCACCTGATAATTGGGGTTTTATACAAAGGAAAAGAAAACTTGTCATTGGAACAGGAGGTAGTTTAACAATTTAGAGCAGGCATCTGCTGACCTTAGAGTCTTACCTTGCTTGGGATGAGGAGACAGGGACATTATGTTCCTTGGATGTTAGCATTCCCAGGATGTGGTCCTCCCTAGCCCCCAGTCCTCGGTACTGGGGTTTGGAAACGGCCTTCACAAGGACCTGCACTCCCAGCCATTTACAAATTTCTTTTTTATTTTGAGACTCGGTCTCATTAAGACACTAAGTTGCTCAGGCTGGGCTCAGACTTGCGATCGCTGGGCTCGCAGGAGACAGTTCATAAGCCCTTGGGAAAGATTTTCCTGGGCCTGACAGAAGACTCAGTTTTCTCTGCATCCCCACCCTGGCTTTCCATTCCCTCCCTCCCTTTTTCCCTCCTTCCCTCCCTCCTTCCCTTTCTTCCTTATTTCTGGTGATGGAACCCAGGGCATTTGCACAGAGCTACATCCTTAACCCCTTTTTAAATTTCGAGATAGGGTCTCGCTAAATTGCTGTGTTGCCCGGGCTGGGCTCCAACTGATGATCTCCCTCCCTTAGCCTGGTGATGTCTGGTCCCATCTAGTCCTCTGAAGGTTTTACAGACACATCAAGGAGGGAGAAAGTACATTGGACGGCACATCTAACGCAGATGCTCTCAGAGGAGGAGGGGAACTTCACTTAACAGGAAGAGAAACCTCCTTCTTTCTAAGTTCCCTGTCTTCACACTGGGTTGGCCAGTCCTGGAACTGAATTTTGAGAGATTCTGACTCGGAAGCAGTGAATAGGAAAAAATGTCTCATCTTTCTCTTCTGGTAACTCCGTTGAATTTACTATGGGGCGGGTGGGAGTTTGACAGGTTCAGTTTCTCCTTCAAACTCATCTCAGATTCAAGTTAGAGTTCGTGTTTAGTGAGTGCTAAAACTGAGCGATCATTAGACCCTAGACAGACTTATAAGTCCTCTGTGTGGTGCCTGGGGAAGATTGTTTCTAGATTTTTCAACTAAAAATAGTTGGATGGAGGTTAATAACTCTGGACTCAGATCTTCTACTAACGGGTGTTCTGACCCCAGACTCAGTGTTGCGTGCTCCAGAGTCCACTACACTCCCAGTCTCTGTCATGCTCCCTTTGTAGGACTCTTGCTACTGATCACTTTGTATAATAAATTCAGTAGATTCCAGTACCTGACCTTATGTTTTTATATTAAAGTTAATAGTTACACACACGTGTAAAATACACTTAACATCTCTCAGAATGAAACAGTAATAGTGGTATGATATACTTATTTCCTGGAGATGGCTTTTTGTTCCGGGTAACTCACATCTGGCTTCATGTTTGCAAGAATATAACGTGTATGTGAATGCTTCCATTTTTCCTTGGCGGTAAAGACTTGCGTGTTTGTTTTTGCTCTAGACAGGAATGAAAAGACAGTTCACACAGCACATTCTCTGAAAGAATGCTTCTTGTACTGTTGGCTTAATATTTCACAAGAATGCACTCACTCACTAACCCAAGTTAATGCTAAACAACAAAAATATTTGGAATTTGACTCTGCAGAACTGTGATTTTCTAAGTGTTTAAATTCCTTATTTATATTTTCTTAAAGCCCACAGAAGTGAGTTGTCCAGTTGGCATTAAAATACTGAGACTCACCTGCTTGCTCCTCTGAATACAAGGACTTATTCGTTGATTTATTTCATGGTCTTCACCTTTGTTAATCATACCTTTGTTTCTGTCAAGTTGTCAAGTTATTTATCTCTTTACCTATGTTGTGATTGACAAGGGAAAACAAAGTCGTCATAAAGTGTACACATGGTGATTTTACCTATCGTAGAAGATAAACAGTCTCTGCCCAGGGGCTGAATTGGAGTTCCAAACACGACTGATCTCCCAGCTGCCTCGGGAAGAGCGGAGAGTAGTGCTGAGTTTGCCAGCATAGTCGGTGACTGAGGATAGGCTACCTATCATGTTCGGTGGGATCTAATTGTTCAGATATTATAAAAATACTATTTTAAAGGGAACTCACAGGGCATTTAGTTCAATGTTTTGTTTAATAGGATAATCCTGTCTGCAGCATATATACTTATATACCTCCTGCTGCAGCTTTTCTGACGACCGAGAATTTGCCGTCCCCTTAGCCAGACCCTGTATATCCTTTGGCGTGACTAAGACAAACCAATCACCTCACAAACAATAAGACAAATAGAAAACAGTGAAGGAGCTCTGGCTAATTTGCAGTCCTGTGGGTTGGGCGTGCTGTCTCATCTTGCGCATTGATTTCATTATCTATAAAATGGGACTGAAGGGTATGATGATGATCTGCATTGTGTAAAATGCTTAGCATGTCAGACGCACAGTCCTTCAGTTTAGTCAAATGGTGGTGATTTCCGGGAGTCTGTTGTCATGTTGACTACTATATGTTGGTTCTTTCAGGGAAATCAAGCTAATAGCACTTTTTATTTGTTAAAAAACTAAGGGAGGAAGTGTAACTTAGTCACTTCCTCCCTTCCTCCTCAAGCAGCGGAGAAGCCCTGATGATGAAAACTGCAGCACGCTGACTTCATGACTGATACTTTCCTGCGGTCAGAGCAAGCCAGGGCGGTGACGGGGCTAGCCCCTGCTTTTAATGCTTTTTCTCCGCCCCCTCCTTCTAGTTTGAAAAGTGGGGCACAATGTGCGCCTGTTTCAAAGGCTGCTTGGTTTCGTGGCCATGCTGTCCTCAGGGTTCCTTTCTGTCTTGCCTCCTGCAGGTAGACATATTCCCCTGTGCAGCCAGCCCTCGGGCACAGGTCTCCTGCACCACTGATGCTTCATGATGTTCCCTGTGAGATTTCCCCATAAAGAGCAGAGAGTTGCCTATACAAAAGGCACTTGTATTTTGGTACACTGCATTGTTAGCTATGAGATGACGCCTACCCGTAAGAAGTGCTGGTCATTTCCTCCCCCATGCATTTTATCAAAGTGTTCCAGAAGAGTCATGTTTTAGAAATAAATTCTCTCCTCACTTTATTTCTGATGCTTTCTTTTATACTTTTGGTATAGTTTGACTTTGTAGTTTCAAATACCCACCTCCAGCCCATTAGGTTGACCTTGTCTGGTCCAGACAGTCTAACCCTATCACATAGCAACACACAGAAACTAGATGAATAAAGAAATAAAGACTACATCAATAACAACGCACTCCCCTACCTCATGGCAGCATTGTAAAGCCAAGAAAATCCGCACAGGAATACAAAGCAAGCTGTTCTTAGTTGTCTTTGTCTTTTGTAATGTTCCATTTTGCAAAAGTGAGGGCTTCATCCAACTCCTGTCCACTTTACTTATTTGAGAAGTTCCATTTCAGGGCATGTGCAGTCACTGCTAGAGGAAAGGTAAGGCAGTGGTCACATGACTGAAGGTGAGGGCTGTGGGTGGCACCTGGCGTACTCTTTCTTAAGACTTACCCGGCTCTCAAAGCCATCGTGGCCCTTGTCAGGGCAGAATTTCTCTGCAAGTTCCTAAGAGATCAGAATGGGATGAGAAGGAATATATCTAGATTTTAGTTTTGCTATTAATTGAATAACAAGAATTTGGCTAAAGAATAAGAATAATTTTTCCTGATATAAACTATTTCCTACATGAGATAACTGTGCCTACATATGAATGTATAAACTTCAGTTTCATTTATTTCTTGGTGGCTTCACCTCTGTCAACCTATTATTTTTTCTTATTTTGCAGCAGTGAAGTTGGAGAAGACACGAAAGCCAGCTGCTGAAGTGTATTTGGGATGCTGGTGCTAACCACTTGGTAGATTTAACTATTTTTTTCAGAATGAGTGCTTTTATGAACTGCAGTGGAACGGAAGAACTAAGAAACATTTCCTGCAGGCATAAAGCATCACAGCACTGCACTAAACCCAGCGTAGGAGAGGCTGACCTACCGCTTCTCGCACACGGTTCAAGCCTTTCCGGCCTTCTGTGAGGCCGACAGCAATACTAACTCGCCCCTACCTTCAGTGGCCAAATAAAGAACCATGGGTAAACACAACAGTGGCTGTGACTGTTTTTCGACAGTTCTTTTATTTCATGCGTACATTGCTGAGGGAATCAGCCTTTGTTCCTCTTGCCTCACTTTCTACATGCTAAAAACATACAATCACTTTTTAAGAGTTCCAGCTGTCAGGGTGCACTCGTACTGCGGGATGCTCTGGGGAAATTGTGAACAGGAGAAAATAGGTACCGTGCAGACACAGGCTGCTTCCCGAGCCCTTGGGGTTCTGGACCCTAGGGCAGGCCGTGTACCAGGGGGGAGCTTTGCGGTGCCCAGCACGTTGGCCATGTTCCCTTTGTCTCCCTGCCGCCATTCCCGAGAGTCAGTCTGTCTCCTCTGGTGACTTCCTTCTGCCCACTGGGGATGCCCAGGACCACACCCCTTGGAGAAGAATCCTCAGCAGCTCTGTGTAGCCAGTTCCCGGTCACAAAGCAGCTGTTGTGAAGTCTGCTACCTTAGCGTAAGGCTCTGGTTCCCGTGTAGCCAGCTCTGAGCTGCGGCTCCCTCAGATCCTGGTGTGGGCACCTCAGTCATCCCGCTCAGGAGCTGTTCCTTCAGAAGAGCGCTGGCTCCTTCAACCTGCTGCATCCGGTTTAGACTGTTGCACTCACAGCCCTCGTGTGGCACCTGGAAATGCGAAGTTTCTCCATCTTCTCCATTGATGTTAGGGGCAAAAGAGCCACAGCAAGGCTCCCTAGTCATCTCCTTTCTTCCAAGCAGCAGTTGTGCTTCCACTGCCCCGCTGAACTATGTGAAGAATCGCCTCAGATCACCAGTAATGATTTCTAACATCCATTGTCCATTCCTTCTGCACCGGCTACCACAAGGGCTGTGTGTGAACTTAATGTAACCTTCACATGATCTTGTGAGGTCGGTCCTGTTATCACCCACAGTGTGAATCTTCCCAGTGATTAAAACACGCTAGTAAGTGACAAAAGAAAAATTCAAGTCCAGGTAATCTGTTTCTAAGACCAAAGCATTTGCTCAGTCATTTGTACATCCACACCTTCATTCACACGCAGGAGTTGGAGTTGATCCCACTTCCGGCTCATGGCAGATGGCTGGGCGAGCCCCACCTCGTACGTACGTGTCACGTGGTGATTACTGTTTATATCTGTTGTTTGTATATATTTTAAAGATTTGCGTTATTTTGTCTGTGTGCGTATATTTAATAAATGCAGATGGAACTGCTCGAATTGTTCTTGTGTCTCACTCACTGCTGTTTAAAGCTCCACCCCCATCGCAGCCCAGCACACTGGCTCCTCGCACTGCGTGAAGCATCCCATCGCCTTTCACTACCTACCGGCCCAGCCACAGTCGCCCAGGTTTTCTCCTTATCCACAGCGTGATACGGTGCATGTCTGTGTGTGTGTGTCTGTGCTCTTGGACTCCTGGGTGGATCCCTGTTAGAATTTCTCTGAAATCTCTATCTACGTGTAGAACTGCGTAACCCTACAGTATGGGTGTATTTAACTTCACTAAATCCTCCTCCATTGCTGTCTGGAATAGGTGCACCCATTCTTCTTCCCACCAGAAATGCACTGGGCTCCTACGTCCTCAAAACCCTCTCTACCTTAGAATGTGAACGTTGCAACACTAGGCACACTATCCAAGACGTGATAGAAAAATGGTGAGAGTGTACATTTTTAAAAATTTATTACAGTAAAAATAAGTTGCCACAGATCCCTCTCAAAATAGCCCCTCACTTTGAAGACGCTTACCCCTTCCCCGCTGATGCTTTCTGAAGCAGTTCTGCAGGTCCTCCTTTCTGAGTGTCTCTGGTTGTGCTCTTGTGGCTGCCTTGATATTGTGAAAAATTAAAAATGTTTGCCCTCCATGGTCATTTTGATTTGGGGAAGAGCCAGAAGTTAGAGGGTGCCGGATGTGATGGGGGTGCACTGTACTCTTCCTGCAAGCCTGACTTTCCTTTGGATGAAACCTGACAGCAGCATTCGCCATACTTGTTTAATGTTTTTCTTACTTACTTATTTATTTTTTGTCTTTTTGAGACAGGGTCTTGCTATGCAGTTCAGGCTGGCCTTGAGCTCACTTTGTAGCCCAGGCTGGTCTCGAGCTTGCAATGATCTTCCTGCCTCATCCCGAGTGTTGGGATCACAGGCGTGCGCCACCCTTCCTGGCCTTTAATGCTTATTTTGATCAGTACACGTTTGCAGTACAAAACGTTTACACTCCTCATGAGGAATCGATACATCACATAACACATCCCTTTTTCTTCTGTCTGCTCCACTCCCTCTCTCCTCCCTCCATCACTTGATTCCCTTCCCTTTTGCAAAAGAGCTGTGTCCTTGTTTCTTTTTTTTTTTTTATTTTTTTTTATTTTTTTTATTTTTTTATTTTTTATTTTTTTTGGTTTTTCTCCGGTACCGGGAACCGAACTCATGACCTTGCGCTTGCCAGGCAGGCGCTTTTGCCGCTGAGCTAAATCCCCAGCCCCTGTGTCCTTGTTTCTGTCATATTTAAGCTTATATGCATGGCTTATTTCAATTAACATTATGGTTTCACGGTGCATCCATCTTCCTACGGAGGACAGAAATTTATTCTCTATGTCAGGGTAGTACTCCGCTGTGTATGAATATCACATATTCATTACCCAGTCATCGGTGCTGGGATTCAGCTGTTATGATCTGTACTGCACACGTGGGTGTGCAAGTCTCACTATAGCATGATGTCTGTAACACTTTCAGGAAGATACCTAGAAGAAGAATATTTGGGTCAAATAGAATTGCTAGTTTTCATTTTTTGAGAGATCTCCATGTTGGTTTCCATAGTGGTTGTGCTAGGTTACCCTCCAGCCATTTGTAGAAGGGCTCCTTTTTCCTCAGCGCCTTACCAGCATTTGTTATTATTTGATTTTCTGATGATGGCCATTTTTTCTGGAATAAGACTCAGTCTTGTTTTATCTTGCATTTCTTGAATAGCCGGTGATGTTCCTCTGAGAATTGTCTATTCATTTAGGTTGCCTACATTTGGAGTGGGTCTTTTATTTTGGGGGTGTCTAATTTTTTTGAGTTCATTTACATATTCTAGATATTAGTCCTCTGTTCTAGGAGTAGCTGGCAAAATACATTTCCCATTCTGTAGCTCATCTCTTTACTCTTTTGGTTGCTTCCTTTGCTGTGCACAAGCTTTCTAATTTGACATGGTTCCATTTGTTGATCTGTGATGTTATTTCTGGTGCAGTTGAGCTTCTGTTCAGAAAGACTTTACCTCTGCCTACATCTTCAAGAGTTGGGTCTATTTTATCTCCTAGTAGATTAAGTGTTTTATTTTAATAGTTAGCTCTTTGATCCATTTTGATTTTGATTTAAAAAGGGTAAGATATGTAGTTTTAAGATTCAATCTTCAGCTTGTGTATAATTAGTTTTCCTAGCAGCATTTGTTAAAGAGACTGTCTTTCCTCCAGTGTATGATTTTGGCCCTGTTCTCAAAGATCAGGTAGTTGAATGTGCCTGGAGTTGTTTCTGCACCCTCTGTTCTGTTCCAGTGGTTTACATGTCTTTTTTTATGCCCGTACCATGCTGGTTTAAAATCATTACAGCTTTGCAATATAATGTGAAGTCTGGGATTGTGAGCATTCACTGTTTATTTATTACACCTTACAAAGACAATAACAAGACCTTGCAGAACTACTTTAGAAAGTGGCAGGAACATGGAATAGGTGTGTTTAGAACAATGGGGAGTAATTTGAGGAGCATTAATGGCAATCTTTTACTTTAATAAATTATTTTAAATTTAAACATTCACCATATATTTTGATTAACTTTTGTACTGTCCTTAGAGACAACTCTTTAGATAGGACCCTTGTTTGCGCTGTCCTGTTTGTCCTAAAACTTCAAATTCTCAAAGTCTTTTATACTCTTTAATTCATTGCAGTTATAAGTTGAGTAATATTGCCTTCATTTTATTGATGAAAAATTTGAGCCTAAAGGATAATGAATAAAAAAGTTCTTTTGACTTCCCTATGTTATTTGTAAAGAATGCCAGGTTGTATCCAAACATAATGTTCTAATTTTTTGATCATCATCATCTCAGCAAAATCAGAGTCTTAGGACCGTGAAGACAGGAGAAGCATGTATTGGTTTTGGACAGAACAGGGGGTGTGGAGAATTGCCTGCCTTGGGTTTGGTGAGCCTAGTATTCAGTTTTAATGAAGCCGACCTTAGCAAGAAAAGGAAATAAAAAAGTCAGGTTCATGCAGTAAGGAATAAAAAGGGTAAAATCACTACAGATCCTGTAGAAATTCAGAAGATCATCAATACATACTTCAAAAATCTTTACACTCGCAGGGTGGAAAACACAGAAGAAATGGACAGATTCCTAGATACATATGACTTACCAAAGCTGAACCCAGAAGATACAAAAATCCTGAATAACTCAGTCAATGAAATTGAAAATGTAATTAAAACCTTACCAACAAAGCAAAGCATAGGTCTTGATGAATTCACAGGTGAATTTTATAAGAAATTTAGAGAAGATTTAATACCAATACTCCTCAAACTCTTTAATACCAATACTCCTTTAACTCTTTAAATTGAAAGGAAAGCAATTCTCCCTAACTCATACCTGGATGCAAGTATTTACCCTGATACCAAAACCAGAGAAAAACCCATCCAAAAAAAGAGAACCACAGGCCAATCTCCCTCATGAACATAGATGCAAAAATCCTCAATAAGATGCTAGCAAAAAGAATGCAGCAAATCATCCAGAAGATTATATACCATGACCAATTGGGATTCATCCCAGGAATGCAGGGATGGCTCAATATATGCAAATGAATAAATATAATACACCATATCAACAAAGCCAAAGACATAAATCACAAGATCATCTCAATAGATGCAGAAAAATCTTTTCTTTTTCTTTTTTTTTGTGGTACTGGGAATCAAACTCACGACCTCACATTTGCTAGGCAGGCACTGTTCCACTGAGCTAAATCCCCAGCCCCAGAAAAATCTTTTGATAAAGTCCAACATTCA